ACCTTTAGCTTTATGTTTTATGTTTTATATTTGATGTTTCTGTCTAAATTGCTGTATGTGTGGAAGAAACAATGGGGTGCAGGGTTGTTTTAATCAGGGGCGGCGCTACCATTAGGCAAAAGTAGACAGCTGACTAGAGCCCCCAAACCTGAAGGGGCCCCCAACCAACTGCCCTCAGTGTCACTAATAGCTGAGGCCTCAGAGCAATTTGATTTTCTCTCAATATTTTATTAAATGAGAGACATTAAATGAGAGTAGTTTACTTTTAAACAATAATCATAAGAAAAATAATGATCATCATATGTAATGGATGTAAACAAAAATCTATTTATTTAATCTATTTTATCTAAATCTATTTATTTATTTTATTAAATGTTTTGTTTTTATTGGTATAGATGTGAGGATGTGCTTGTATTTGTTCATTTTTACTGCTACAGATTTGCTCTGTCGAGGTTTTGTTGTATTTCACACAATGACAATAAATAAATCTAAATCTAAAAATGTAATTGTACTAGCCAAAAAAATAAAACTACTTTCATCTAGTAGGCTACCTAACTAATAAGTTTCCAATCTATCATAATTCAAACAAATAGAGATATGCATGTCACAAAAACAATGGGGAAAAGACAAATAAAAAAAAAAGACAGACAAATATAACCCTAACCCTATATATATATAAAACAAACAGTGCATTATAGTGAGGGCCCCAAACTCAATTTCGCTCAGGGCCCCCCAAATTGCTAACTCCGCCACTGGTTTTAATCATAATTTTTCTGTTGCATGTGAACTTTGTGCTGAATTTCAAATGTACAAATGAACTGCTCTATAAATAAAGTTTCGTTGATTAACTTTAGTTCAGTAGAGATTGTCAATTTCAGAGGCTGAAATTATCCAAATGATTTTAATGAAGATGTGTGTGGAGTTTTAAAACACATTGGAGCGAATTCCTGTATTACCACATGACATCACAAGGTGGTACAGAGTGTTTTATGTGTGGGAGAAGAACTCAGCCTAAATATAATAAGTGTGTTAAATGTGTAAGTGAAACAAAACACAACTCCAGGTTTACATAGATCAGAAAATAGTGTAATTTGAGCGGTAATGTTCAGAGTACTTTTTAGCAACATACTTTACTTTTATGCCACTTCTACTTCAATAATATTTCTACTTAAGAATAGGACTCTTACTTAAGTAAAAGGTTTGGTTCCTCTTCTCACCGTGAGAAAATCTACAAGTGACAAAAGCTAATATGATTTGAACATTTGTATTTCTTGCACTGCTTCTTCAATTTTCCTCATTTTTCTGGTCTGTCATTTTTTAATCTATATCTGTTTTATTTTAAGTACAAAACACTAAATCGTGCACGAAACCTGGTATTTTCACAGGACAGACCAAATAAATCATAACTTAAAGAGCGCCGCAAGAAACAGATGTTCGAATCATTTCATATTGTCGACATAAAGCTTGAGTCACTTTAGACTTACTCACAGTGGGAAGAATAACCACAACTTTCACAAGAGTTCTGCTACTTCAATAAAAATATGACTCAAGTAGGAGTAAAAGTAGCATATGCAGCAAGAAAAGTACTTTGAAAAGCACTTTTTTAAAAGGTTACTGAAGTAAACTTGACTAAGAACTACCCAGCTTGGTCCAATTGGTTGAATCTACTCAAATCACGTAAAATATTCTTTGAGTAATTTGTATTTATGTAGATATAGGCAAACTTTTTACACTGTTGTTGATTATGACAGAAGACGAGAGATGGTGACTGGAAGTGGATCTGAAGACCTTATTTGTCTGATTTGGACTCGTTGTAACGTTTTCTTACCTTGATAAACAATATAGAGAGCTGTGTACGTTACTTGTCAAGTCGAATCTACTCAAACCGCGTAAAATATTCTTTGAATAATTTGTGTTTACGTAAGTATAGGCAAACTTTTTACAGTGTTGTGGATTATGAAAGAACAGGGGATATAGTGACTGGAAGTGAAGCTCACAAAAACTGGATTTGGAGTCCTATTTTGAATAATTTGGATGGGTAATTTGTGTTTACATAAATATAGGCAAACTTTTTACAGTGTTGTTGATTATGACAGAACAAGATGACGACTGGAAGTGGATCTCATAGAACCTGGATTTGGAGTCCTAATTTGTCTAATTTGGACTCGTTGTAATGTTTTCTTACCTGATAAACATTATAGAGAGCTGTGTATGAAACACAAATGCTCAAATCATTTCATATTTTGTCACTTTAGACTTACTCACAGTGGGAAAAGGAACCACAACTTTCACAAGAGTTCTGCTACTTCAATAAAAATATAACACAAGTAGGAGTAAAAGTAGCATATGTTGCAAAAAAAAGTACGTTGAAAAGCAGATTTTTTAAAAAGGTTACTTAAATAAATGTGACTTAGAACTACCCAGCTCGGTCCAATTGGTCAAATTTACTAAAATCACGTAAAATATTCTTTGAGTAATTTGTGTTTACGTAGATATAGAGAAACTTTTTACACTGTTGTTGATTATGACAGAAGCCGAGAGATGTTGACTGGAAGTGGATCTCATAGAAACTGGATTTGGAGTCCTAATTTGTCTGATTTGGACTCGTTGTAACGTTTTCTTACCTTGATAAACAATAGAGAGCTGTGTACGTTACTTGCCAAGTCATCTTTGTTAGTTCCCGCATAGACTACTGTAATGCTCTCTATGTGGGGATTAATCAAGCTGGTTTTCACCGTTTGCAGCTCGTGCAAAATGCTGCTGCTCGCCTGCTTACTAACAGTCAGAAACATGACCACATCACCCCTGTCCTGTACTCCTTGCACTGGCTCCCTGTCCAGTTCAGAATTCCTTTTAAATTTTTTATGTTTGTTTTTTATGTTTGTCTTATTTTTGAGATTTTGACCCCTCACCAACCCAGCAGAGCTCTACGATGTGCTGGGCAACATCTGCTGGAGGTCCCCCGGTCCCGGTGCAAACAGTGGGGTGATCGTTCTTTTGCAGTGGCTGGTCCAAAACTCTGGAACTCTTTGCCCATTGAGTTACGCTCCATCCCTGACCTGCCTTTGTTCAAAGCCAAACTTAAAACCTACTTATTTAGAACGACTTTTAACACTTAGTGGCCCTGTGACACTTTCTTTCTTTTAATGGTGTAATGTGCTTTGTTGACCTATTCGTATGATGTTTATTGTTTTTGATCTTGTTTTAATGTTGTACAGCACTTTGGTCGGCTATGGTCATTGGAAGGTGCTATAGAAATAAAGTTTGATTGATTGATCAAGACCCTCTCATGTCCAGCTCAATCTCCAGACCTGAGCCCCACTGAAAACCTCTGGAACGTGATCAAAAGGAAGATGGATGGTCATCAGGGTTATTCCACCAAATATTGATTTCTGAACTCTTCCCAAGTTAAAACATTAGTATTGTGTTGTTTTAAAATGAATGTGATCTTCTTTTCTTTGCATTATTTGAGTTCTGAAAACATCTTTTGAAAGCCTCTTTTTTGTTATTTGTCATTTTCTGCACATAAATGCTCTAAATAACAATATTTTTTATTTGGAATTTGGGAGAAATGTTGTCAGTAGTTTATAGAATGAAGCAAAAATGTCCATTTTGCTCAAACACAAACTTATAAGTAGTAAAAGCAAAGAAACTGATCATTTTGCAGTGGTCTCTTATTTTTTTCCAAAGCTGTATTAAAATCACGTAAAATATTCTTTGAGTAATTTGTGTTTACGTAGATACAGGCAAACTTTTTACACTGTTGTTGATTATGACAGAAGATGAGAGACGTTGACTAGAAGTGTATCTCATAGAAACTGGATTTGGAGTCCTAGTTTGTCTAATTTGGATGCGCAATTTGTATTTATGTAGATATAGACAAACTTTTTACAGTGTTGTTGATTATGACAGAACAAGAGAGATGTTGACTGGAAGTGGATCTCATAGAACCTGGATTTGGGGTCCTAATTTGTCTATTTTGGACTCGTAACATTTTCTTACCTGATAAACATTATAGAGAGCTGTGTATGAAACACAAATGTTCAAATCATTTCATATTTTGTCACTTTAGACTTACTCACAGTGGGAAGAATATCCACAACTTTCACAAGAGTTCTGCTACTTCAATAAAAACATAACAAGTAGGAGTAAAAGAAGCATATGTTGCAAGAAAAGAATGTTGAAAAGCAGATTTTTTTTAAAGGTTACTTAAATAAACGTGATTTGGAGCTACATAGCTCTGTCCAATTGGTCGAATCTACTCAAATCATGTAAAATATTCTTTGAGTAATGTGCTTTTACGTAGATACAGGCAAAAGTGGAGCTCACAGAAACTGGATTTGGAGTCCTAATTTGTCTAATTTGGATGAGTAATTTGTATTTACGTAGATATAGAGAAACTTTTTTCAGTGTTGTTGATTATGACAGAAGACAAGAGATGTTGACTGGAAGTGGAGCTCATAGAACGTGGATTTGGAGTCCTAATTTGGACTCGTTATAACGTTTTCTTACCTTGATAAACATTATAGAGAACTGTGTACGAAACATAGATGTTCAAATCATTTCATATTTATTATTTATTCTTTGAGTAATGTGCATTTATGTAGATATAGACCAAAGTGGAGCTTACAGAAACTCGGATTTGGAGTCCTAATTTGTCTAATTTGGAAGAGTAATTTGTATTTACGTAGATATAGGCAAACTTTTTACAGTGTTGTTAATTATGACAGAAGACAAGAGATGTTGACTGGAAGTGGAGCTCATAGAACGTGGATTTGGAGTCCTAATTTGTCTATTTTGGAGTCGTTGTAACGTTTTTATACCTTAATAAACATCATGTCGAGCTGTGCATGTTACTCCGCCGGAGAGCCCGCACTTCGGCTGCTGTTGCGCTCGCTTTTGTAGGTGGCGTCGCTGCTTTACGTCGGTGGGAGTAGACTATAGCCACTCTCTCTCTCTCTCTCTCTCCCCTTGCGCACAGTTCACATCCAGTAGTTGGAGTTGTTGTACACCGTAGAAGACTCGCGGAGAATACAGCTTTCTCCAGCGGAGCAAGTGAGCGCGCACACGGCTACCAAAACGCAACCTTCCCCCCGGGGACGAACTTGGGACACTTTTACCCCCCGGCTTTTGACGCGACTTCTTCTTCTGCGGGTTGCCGGTTGGAGAGGCGAACGGGAAGACGCGAGAGGAGAGAGGAGAAAAGGGGAGCACCGCGCGTCACCGAGCTCTCACTCAACACCACAGCCGCGGCAGAAGCGCTTCGGTCCGGTGTGGTGTGCTCCAGCTGTCCGCCTGCGTTACTGGAGAGGGGGAAAGGGAACTCCATTACGCGGTTTTTCAGCTGGTATGAGCTAATTCGCCATCGGGACAGACATGGAAACTAAACCGTTTTTATCTTTGGGTGAGTTTGTTTACTAATTTTTCTTTCTTTCTTTTTTTTTCGCGCAGGATGTATCGCTGTTTTTTTTTTTTTTTTGCTTATCGTAAACATCACTGATTACGATTCTTGCGTATTTCGTTGGGCTAACTCAACGCTCGTGCACGCTGGTTGAGTTGCAATCTTGCACATGGAGATCTATATAGCGATTTTCTCATGACATCTGCTTGATTCGAAGTGACATCTCCTTCTGTACTGTACGCGCCGCTCCACGATTGCCTCCCTTCGTTCCTCCCGCGTAGTAAACACCGTTTTCTGCCACTGTTACGCACAACACGTTTTCAGTGACAAATCTGGGTACATAATTACTCACGTTTTCGGTTATTAAGAACTTGCCCCAGCGGCGTTTGCTACCTGTACAGTACGGGTCATTACGCGCGATGTCATACGTAAACAGCATGCGTTGGCGCGGTTCACGTGTCCCCTAAGTTTCGCAGCTGGTGTTCGTGGTTAGATTCTACTTCGATTTGACTTTGACTTTGCAGTACGGTGTTGCTGTTGAAGTTGGACACGACTTAACGCTGAGTGAGGGGAGCGAAGAGGTCGTAAATTCTCCTCGACTCGGAGCAACTGGTTGTTCGAACGCTGCAGACAGAGCGAGTTTAAAAAGCCATAAAAGTGAATTGTCATGCAGATTGGGGACGACAAGTTTTGCAATGCATTGTGGTAGAAATCAGGCTGTTATGTGTAGCAACTTAAGCTCCTTATTTGTTGATTTATTTGCGTGAAAGGGACAGTGCATATGAATGAACATCTGTTACGGTTTTAGTTTAAATACTAATAATGCACGATTATTTCTACTGTTCATTTGAGTTTTTTTTAAATATACTTTGAACCAGATAAGGGTTGCAATATGGCATGAAGACTTGGGATAGAGATTTGATTTTATTTTTTTACAATTTCACATAAAGTGTAACCGATATTATTTTTGAAAATCTGAAATTATTTGATGATTTAAAAATGTCGCTGTAAAAAAAAATACAAACAAACAAACAAACAAAAATAGTTCCGTTAATAATCATTGCAGCCCTGTACATTGTTTAAAGGTGCACTGCTTAACTTTTCTGGTTGCCATGGAGATGCAGATAAGGTTCCGCTATATGGTATTAAACGTATATAAGCATTTTTTTTACGAGTGGGGTTTCCTCTTCGCAGATCTCACCTGTAAATTGTCTTGTTTCTATGGAGACAGAAAGGTTTAATGCCATACTTCGGAATACTATAGGTAAAACAATAACTGGCAAGGCTTCTATTGGAAAAGTTACACAATGCACCTTTAACTTTTGAACCTCTTCTATAGTCTAAAAATGAAAATATAACATACACGTACAATATTTGGCAAATAGACTTAACGTTATTTCATATAAACATTTACACAACATATGGAATCGTCGCTGTGAGTGTGTCTGGCGTGTTCCCATAACACACGTTGTCAGATCAGCAGAATCTCTCACACATGTTGGAAATGTTCCGCAGCGTGGCATGGTAAACGGTTGCTAGGATACAGGAGCTAATTACTTATGAGCGATGCATTTCGTTATAATCTAATTCCAGCGGTGGAAGAAGTTGTGTTTATTAAGTGAAAGTACAGATAATGGAGCCAAAAAATAAATAAAATACTCAAGTGGAAGTAAAAGTATCACATGTACAAACCTACTCAAGTAAAGTGTGAAAGTATCAGTTAAAAATGTTGTTAAAGAGTAAAAAGTGTTAGTATTTTGCACAGATTTTGAGATAAAGCTTCAAGTGTAGTGATATTGTTAAAGATTTGCGCAATATTTTGAAGTTTATTTGTTATTTGTGTATTTCCGTTTGCTCAAAAAATAAACAAAAATGTACTTAGAGAGTAAAAAGTAAAAGTATTTTGCGCGGATTTTGAGATAAAGCTTCAAATGTAGTGATTTTCTTAAAGATTTGTACATACTTTTGAAGTTTATTTCTTATTTGTATACTTCTGTTTGCTCAAAAAAACCCAAAAAAAACTATAATAATAAAAAAATAAAAAAAATAAATTTACTTTCAGTCCTGTAGTGGCATAGAAAGCAAGTAAGTAGTAATAAATGCAGTGGACTAGAAAGTTCAGTTACCTGCTCTCAAAAGTTACAAACATCGTCGTAAAAATCAGCTTAAGTAAAGTACAGATACCAAAAATATATACTTAACTCCTGTACTTTACTACAACTAAAAGGGAAAACTACTTCATACCTTTATTCAAGCTCATGTTGTTTAAAACGTGTAATTATAGAAGGACTAAAATACTACTTGCAGTTCACATCCAATCAAGTAATGTACTTTTTATTATACTTTAAATACATGTTGCGTTCAAGGACTATTAAAAACTAGTTCATCTTGCTTTTGTTTATGAGTATGAGTAGTAGTAGTACTATCTATTAGTATGTGACTTTCGATACTTTTGACAGCCCTACTTAGTACTTAGTAAAGCTTTACATCTCAAAATCTGCACGGAATACTTTTACGTTTTACTCTTTAACTTTATTTCTAAACGAGTACTTAAATACTTTTACTTTAGTTACTTTTTTTTCATGTGATATGTGATAGAAATGTATGAGTATTTTATTTTATGAAAAAAAGCGACTGAAAAAAGGGAAGAGATCGTTTCGTTCTATACCTAATTTTCCACAACATGACACTTTTACTTTTGTATTTTGTCATTTTTTTTCGTTTCGGTATCTGTATTTTCCTTACAAAACTCAATACTTCTCACTCTCGCCTTCTAATTTCCTCTCCGAACTTGCACGGACGCGCTCACGGTCAATGATTAATGCTCGAGCGGTACTGTACATGTGTCAGTGTACACAGACGCACAGACGTATAGTGGACTCTTGTACCCAGAGCCCAGGGGCAGCATGGGCCCGTCCCGTGGAGCGGGAGAGAGGGAAGGGGGGGGAAAGAAGGGGGAAGAGAGAGGGAGGGAGAGGAGGAGGGGAGAGGGGGGCGGTCGGGGGGTATTATGTCTGCGAAAAGGAGGTAGTTGCATTAAGGACACGCTGTACATTCGTTTGAGCGGGAGTATGCGCTGGGTTTTACTTCAAATCAACTTTTTCTCAGCAAGTACGCATAAGAAAATATTTGAAAATGTTGAGAATTAGAAGTAGCGCGCGAGAACTATGGGATGGATTGGATTTTAAAGGTTCAATATTACACAAAATGAATTCTTTTGAGTTTTAAGGCATGTTATAATGTTGTTACTTCATCAAAAACACACCTGGAGTTGTGTTTTGTTTCATTCACACAAGCCTGAGCAATTCTTTTATTTTTAGGCTGCGTTTATATGATGACGGTCTGAACAGAAGAGGCAAAAGTGGTGTCGCGTCTTCGCTTTTTATTCCGTGTTTAGACCAGCGTTTTCAGGAGGAAATCTGCATACGGTGACGCAAAAGTGTGTGGAATTCGATTGGGTATGCACGCCGTCCGACGTGTTTGTTTCTGTGTACTGCAGTGTTTCCCAAAGACTGCGTCACGACCTTCAGGTGGGTCGCAAGAGAGTTTTTTTAGATCGCATTTTCACGATCTGCAGGTAGGTCAATTGAATGTTGAAAAAAAAAATATATAGGCGACTTATGGATCCTTTTATTCAGTGACTGTTTTCAGAGAGACACGATCACTCAGTCAACAATAAAATATCCTCATTAATGTTCAATAACGGTCAAATCCACCTTTATTTTGTGGTTTACAAATAATGTCTATTGACTTGGGTTGCGGAGGTTTGTGGCTTTTAAAATATGGGTCTCCAGAAAAAAAGTTTGGGAAACACTGGTGTACTGTATGTATGTGACGTAAACGCGTGTGCGATGTGAGCAGATCTGACCAGAGTTTTGCGTCTTGGGCAGTGTAGATGGAAATGCTACGGCGGAGCGTATTCAACTTTTCCACTCTGGAGGGTAGTTTCAGATTTTTGCGTTTTTAAACACCCAAAACGCCGTCACCGTCTAAACGAAAGGCTCTTCCCATAAAATATTTTGGCGTTTTTACCCACATACGTTCTCGTGTAAACAGGCCCTGAGTTTGTCTACATCTCTAAAACTTAAAATACTTAGTTCCTCCCTGTGATGTGATGAAGCGGTAGTTTTCATTTTCAAGTTAACATTATAACATTATCAGAACATAAATTAATAACAGCGCAATGCGGGCCTTTGTGCAAGACTGTAATTCAGGCATTTTTAAAGGTCCAGTATTACGTAAAGTATGTTATAATGTTGTTTCCTGTTGTTGTTTTCCTGTGTTTTGTTTCATTCACACATTTTTAACACACAAACCCTGCATGTCTATGGCCTCTTAGCATAACGGCCTTAGTCGTTTTTTGGCCAAATTGAGTTATTTGAATAATTCTCCTCTCCAGAACCTCCAAAGTCTTTGTTAAACCATCATGTGCAAAGTGAATATGAAACAAAAACATTTTAATCCTCAAAACTGTGAAAATGTCAAATGTGTCACATGCACTGCAAAAAATTAAATCTTTAGTTAAGTTAAGATGACTTGAATTAAGAAAGTTTTATCATGATTTGAGTAAATTCCACTAGACAAGTTAAATTATCTGTCAGCGGAATACGATTTTTTGTTCTTAAAATATGAAAATATAACTTGCTACACTTAAAAAAAGAAAAACAACAACCCTTAAAATAAGAAATGAAATTGAATGTCGCTTGAATTTAGAAAAACACTTATTCCATTGGTAGAGTCGACTCAGATAAAGTCAAATGTTCTTAATTTTCATTTTAACAAACCTTTTTGCTGTGTGAATGAGTTTCCTTCCACTAAACAAACAACAAAACTGTAGCGCTGTAACAAAATAATTTAGGAAAATACACCAAAAATACTCTATATATATATATCGATACAGCAGCTCACGATATCGATACTGTATCATTACATTAAACGATACAATATATCAATATTTCAATATTTTTGCACACCCCTAGGCACCAGCCAATCAGCGAAGAGCC